AGATCTCCAGGGTCTCAGGCAGAGGCCTCACGCACCACCTCCTCCCTGATACTTTTAGCTGGAGATGCCGGGGACCGTCCACATGCCAAGCAGATGCTTTGCCAGTGAGCCACAGCCCCTCCCTAATGCTCCACTAAAGAGCCAGGGCATTTTTCTCCAGGCTTGTTGGGCAACCCTAACTGAGAGATATCAACACAACAAGTATGTTTTAAAAGTTAAACTATAAGACAGCAAAATACTCCCACCATTATTTTATGCCACTACTCAAATCAGTGACCAACAATATAGAGAAGAAGAGATTGGATTTATACTCCGCCCTTCACTACCCAAAGGAGTCTCAGAGCGCCTTACAAATTCCTTTCCTTCCCCTCCCCTCCCCACAACAGACACCCTGTGAGGTAGGTGTGGCTGAGAGAGCTCTGACAGAAACTGCTCTTTTTCAAGAGCAACTGTGCCAGAACTATGGCTTGCCCAAGGTCATCCAGCAGCTGCAAGTGGAGGAGTGGGGAATCCAACCCGGTTCTCCAAGATTAGAGTCCACACATTTAACCACTACACCAAACTAGTAGATTCAGGTGGGGTAGCCGTGTTGGTTTGAAGCAATAGAAGTGTCAGTCCAGTAGCACTTTTAAGACAAACAAAAGTTTAATTCTGGGCATAAATTTTGGCATGCACGCACATGTGTGCGTGCATGCAAAAGCCTATACCCAGAATTATACACAAAATTATACCCAGCCTTATACACAAAAGCCTATACCCAACAATATAGTAGATACTACACGACATTAATTGCATAAAACCCAATAGACTTCAGGGCTGTGTGCTTTCACTCAAGCTGCAGCCGAAAAGCCCCTCGCAGAACGGAAAGTGCCCACCAGGGAGGAAAGAAAACCCACCACAGTGAAGACGTAAGTCGGGAAACCAAGAAAGGTTAACTGGTTTAAAGCAAAGGGAGAGAATCAGCAGCCTTTGACACCAACGAAAACCCGAGCGGCTCCCAAAGGGCGCAAACTGTGAACCTCACACGAGGCTTTACCCCCTTCAGAGCAGCAGCCAGAATAACGAGACCAGCCTTGAAATCCCCGCCAAGCAAACGAGCATAAGCCGCCAAGTGGTAGCACCTGCCTTTAAAGAAGCTACCGCTGTCACCTGGCCGCACCCCAGAAATACCAGAGAACTACGAGTCCCGAAAGGCTTTGCCCGGGGTTCTTTCCCAGCGGTGCAAAACGGCTCTATGGGAATTGTAGTCTTCTTGAGTACAGATCGGTCTTTCTCTTCCATGGGCTAGAGAATTCGGGCCGCCATTGGCTCGGCGCAAGGGGCGGAGCAGGCGTTGCTAATTGGACGAGAGTAGTAACCCCGTGGCCAATGAGCTTCCGGAGGTTTTTTTTCCTTTTCTCTGCTTTTCTCTGCTCTTGCTTTCTCTTTCATTTCGGAAAACTGATGGGTTTGCCGCCACCTGGCGGTCGCTTTCAAATGTAACAAAGTTTGACTCCAAAATATTCTTCCCGATATAAACTTTCGTAAAGTTTATACCAGGACTGAAACTTTGTTGCTCTTCAAGGTGCCGCTGGACTCATCTCGAACTTTGTTCTGCTGTTTCGGACCAACACGACTACCCACCTGAAGCTTTCTAATAGAGATGGGGACGTGCCAACTAGGGGGGGGGGGGCTGAACGCGTTTAGCTTGCAGCTAAAACGAGACTCCTTTGTGTCTGGATTGTTTCGAATGCCAGATTAATAGATTGTGAACACGAATTTCGCTAATAATTTCAATCCTCCTTCAATCCTTCCTTGATCAAACTAACGAAAGAAATAAAATTTACAGAGTAACTTTTAAAGAGTTACCATATAGGGTTGCCAACCTCTAGACGGGAGCAGGAGATCTCCCAGAATTACAGCTGATCTCCAGACAACATCGACCCGTTCCCCAGGAGAAAATGGCTGCTTTGGAGGGCGGACTTTATAGCCTTATATGTTGCTGAGCTCTCTCCCCTCCACAAATCATGCCCTCCCCAGGCTCTAGCCCCAAATCTCCAGGAATTTCCCTACCCAGAGCTGGCAACTCGGTAGCAAGATACTGTATGTAAAGGGGACTGAAGACTTTAACAAGACTATAGTATCATAAATAATGATAATTTTACTCCGGATCAGGATGTATGTTTGCAGTAAACATGATCTTGGATCCACAAACAGCTCATCCCAGACTTGGACTGTCTGAGTCACATCACAGATGCTTCAGATGGGAGTGGGGGAGATAATAAGGTCTCCTCAAGGATCAAGGGGTGCTTGGGAGATGTCTGTCTGCACTAGGACCTGAGGCAGGCATTTCCAGGAAGTCGCTGTGGTACACAAAGGGAGACTTTGTGGGCAGTCAATGAAATTGCTGAGCGGTCAGGTTAGAACGGATAAAAGGAAGTCCTTCTTCACCCAAAGAGTGATTAGTCCATGGAATTCGCTCTTGTTTGCCTTTCAGGGGCTACTGGACCCTTGCTCTTTTCTATTGCTACAGACAGACTAACACGACTGCCCATCTCGATCCATTTCCTCCCAGCAACTGTGAAAATGCGGATCTCATAAACTTAACATTTGCAGTTACCGAAGGAGGCGAGTGTGACATTCAAGGTGTGACCTGTATATTCAGTGTGGCCACTTAACTCATTGCAGAACCGAGTCCATCAGCAAGCGAGGAGCCCCCTATGGAAGCGCCAGTGGAGGAAAAGATTGGATTTATGCCCTGCCCTTCACTAGCCGAAGGAGTCTCAGAGTGGCTTATGATCCGTTTCCCTTCACCTCTCCACAACAGACACCCTATGAGATAGGTGGGGCTGAGAGAGCTCTTTCAAGGACTGCTCTTGAGAGAACAGCTCTGAAAGAACTTGTGACTGACCCAAGGTCACACCAGCAGCTGCATGTGGAGGAGTGGAGAATCAAACCCGGTTCCCCCAGATTAGAGTCTGCGCTCCTAGCCACTACACCAAACTGAAAGAGGTGCGTTTGCCGCTGCCTGCCTCTATGTAGCGACCCTGGTCTCCCATCCAAGTACTAACCAGTGCTGGCTTTCTTACACCTTTAGAGAATTGCCTTTTCCATTGGCAATCAAGTGTCCAGTTTTGTCCATCCTGATGTGTTGGACCACTTTGAGCTGTCCATTGCAGCAACTGCTGCTAAACACAAAGCGGTGTGTGTCAACAGTAGGCAACTCTGCAACAGATGTATGGATAATCCTTCCTCCTCCAGGGGTGTTTCTTCTCCTCCACCACCCACAGGACCCTTCGCATGTGCACGCACCTCGTTTGGAGCCCCACCCCCACCCCACTGACGAAGACCACTGAACTTTGATGCTTCTCTCAATGAACGCTCTCCCCTTTTCCTCAGCCGGCTGCAAAGGAGGCTACATTTTACTGTAATTTCAAAGAACTGAGGTTAGATTGCCGTTCTTTTCATTCGTTCTCTCCCCTCGCTCCAATAGAAAAACTTCATTTGGGTTTCTAAAGCAGAATCTGCAGCCAGCGTGCATTGGGGAACAGGTGGGTACGATTCTCTCTCCTCCATGCATGCAGCTGACCTTCCAAAAATCACCCCCTCCCCCAGCTAGCAGTTTTCAGAGAAGAAAACCCTGCATGCAGACCAGAGTGAGGAAGAGCAGGACAGCTGGAGGGTTTATCAAGATGCCTTCACCATTTCAAAGTGGCAAAACTGTTCAGTTGCCCAAAGAATCGCCTCCTCCCACCACCACAGCCCAGGGTGTCATAGAAGCCCTTCTGGTCTATCCCAACACAATACAACATGAGTTTGGTAGCCCCCTCAAAGACTTGACAATGTTGATTTCATAAGAACATAAGAGAAGCCAATGTTGGATCAGGCCGAAGGCCCATCCAGTCCAACACTCTTGTCACACAGTGGCCAGAAATACCAGGTGCCATCAGGAGGTCCAGCAGTGAGGCCAGGACACTAGAAGCCCTCCCACTGTTGCCCCCCCCCCAAAAAAGCACCAAGAATACAGTGCACATCACTTGCCCCAGACCAAGAGCTCCCATCTATACCTTGTGGCTAATAGCCACTGATGGACCTCTGCTCCGTATTTCAATATGAGCTGTCCTGCGTCACAACTCACAGAAGCTCAGGTGAAATAAACATTGGTCTTAAAGGAGCCACTGGAGTCCCAGGGAAGCTATCAGTTAAGCACGCAGAAGCCAAGAAAGAAAACGGACACAAGCTGTTTAACAGTCTGAAAGAAAAGAAGAAGGAAGACAGGGAATAACACGGGCAAGAGTCACTGAGGCCTGCAGCAGCTGTTTGGCCAAAGGGGGCTCACGCGATTCTCCCACCCAACACTGGTACTTTAGGATACTTCAATGCAGTTATCTGTGTCCTGTGGTGGGAGAACAATGCTCCAGGGGACACATCAAGGTCTACACGATTAAAGAACCGCAACGCTGTATTGTGAGAAAAGAGCACACCAACCAACAACTTGCAGCAGGTTTTCCTGAAATACACTTTATTGAACTACAAGCACAGAGGATGACCAAGAGGCAAGAAGAAGAAGAGAAGAGATTGGATTTATACCCCGCCCTTCACTTGGAGTCTCAGAGCGGCTTACAAACTCCTTCCCCTTCCCCTCCCCACAACAGACACCCTGTGAGGTAGGTGGGGCTGAGAGAGCTCTGACACAAACTGCTCTTTTTCAAGGACAGCTGTGCCAGAGCTTGTGACTGACCCAAGGTCACCTCAGCAGGTGCAAGTGGAGGAGTGGGGAATCAAACCCGGTTCTCCCAGATTAGAGTCCGCACACTTAACCACTACACCAAACTGGCAAGACTTTTTCCCCCTCTCAAAGAGCCTGAAGACCTTTCTGCAATGATCTCTGTGATCAAATGGGACTCTGGAATGTAAACAGTGCCTCGATATACAAAGGCACCCACCTAGATTTTTTTTTAAAGGAGCATTAGTTCCCGCCCCTGCCACATCAGTAAGCCTTAATCCACACCCACCACGATTTATTTCACCTTTGGTAACTTTCTGGGGCACCGTTGTTTCCTTGGGGATTTTGGGGCTGGGGGACAGAGACACATGCACTGGGGGGAGGGATTCGACGCTCCTTCCAGGCGGGGAGATTTCGAGGGCGGTGCGCATTCAGCATCTGCAAGGTTGCTGTGGGGCACTGACCCACCCATGGGGGGCCGAGGGGCAGAAGTGGTCTTTTGCTCCCTGACGGGCACCAGCCAGGACACAAGCCTTTCCATCTGTTCACTGTGCCGGGACAGCCGTTCCTGGAACCGCTTGTCACTTTCACGAAGAGTTTTCACCAGGTCCTTGGATGCCGCCAGCAGCCGCTCAGAATTCCTGGTCTCTTCGCGCAGGGCCTCCAGCAGGGCTTCGCTCGTCTCATGCCGGGCTTCCCTTTCAGCCCGCCGGGCTTCCACCTGGCTGGCTAAAGCCTCCTTCATGAGCCGAGCTATTTCCTCACTTGCCTGGCGGGACCCCTCCAAAGCCTGCAGGGCTTTGGACTGCAGCTGCTCCTGGCGGCGCGTGCACTGGTGGGACGTCCCTCCCACAGGCGTCAGGGCAGGTCTCCACAGCGGCTCATCGGCGTTCGTGTTCGCTGTTAGAAGAAACCAAACAAAAAAGATGGCGGTGCATACTGAGAAGCACACCCCGTCTTGGCTGGCCCAATCTAGTCAGGTCTTGGAAGCTAAGCAGGGTCAGTCCTGGTTAGTACTTGGATGGGAGACCAGCAAGGGAGGGCTGGGGTTAATATGCAGAGGCAGGCAATGGCAAACCACCTCTCATCATCTCAAACCCTGAAAGACTGCCAAAAATTGGTTGTGAATTCACAGCAAGAGAGAGAGAGAGAGAGAGAAGCAAAGCTGGCATTTACTATTCCAGAGAGCCAAGGTGCACAAATGGCCGGATGCAGCCTCTTATCTCCTGGAGATCAAAATCAAATGGCCCATCAGGTGAAGAGCCATAGTTTGGTCTACAGCCTAGCGGCTCCAGTTTTTGTGGCGGCCATGTTAAACTGCAGTGACATCTGGTTTGTTTATAGCGCAGTCTAAATCTGTTTTATTTATTTATAACGGATGATTTTTATGAAGTATTTTAATTCTTAGCTGTGAAATGTTTAAACTTTGGTTGTCATCCGCTCTGAGCCCATTGGCAGTGAGGGCGGGATATAAACTGAAACTAATAAATAATCATCTGGTCAATATCCCATCAAGCCTCTGTCAAAGAGACTGATATTAGAGGGACCACTTGAAGAACTGGCAACCTTAATCAGAGATTAGTTACCACCCAATTCCCCTCCCAACAACAACAACAACAACAAAACACTGGAAAACGAATTTGTCAACCCCATTACAAATCTAGAACCTCACCATGAATGTCAAATGAGCACATTAAAATTATCTGCCTCGTGAAAGTAAGTTAAACACCTTGAATATATATACAAAGCTGGCACTACGAGTTAATACACCAAACAACTTCTAATAACAATTTAAAAATAGAGCAGAGAAATTGTTGTTACTCCTCAAGAGAAGAGAGTGATATAAACAGCTTTAGGTCCCTGCTGGAGAGACAGAGGGAGTATAAATAAAGCAGCTAAATAAATAAGGGTTTTATAACAAAGGCCATGACCTGGCCTGGATAGCCCAGGCTAGCCTGATTTCATCAGATCTTGGAAGTTAAGCAGGGTTGGTCCTGACAGATAGTGGGATGGGAGACCTCCAAGGAAGTCCAGGGTCGAGAAACAGAGGCAGGCAATGGGAAACCGTCTCCAAAGGTCTCTTGCCTTGAAAACCCTACCGACCCACCCATGAAGATAGATTCAGGTGGGGTGGCCACATTGGTCTGAAGCAGCAGAACAAAGTTTGACTCCAGTGGCACCTTTGAGGCCAACAGCGTTCAATTCAAGGTATAAGCATTTGTGTGTGTGCACACTTCTTCAGATACATGTACGTGCACACGAAAGCCTATCCCTTGAATACAACTCTGCTGGTCTTGAAGGAGGCACTGGACTCAAACTGTGGACTCGCCCACTCATCCGTTTAAATAATTCCTCCCCCCCCCCCCAAACAAAACAATTCTTTAATCAG